AATGATGTTCCCATCTTGCCCTAGTCACAAGGCACATCTCATGCTTATTCCCAGTAACCATCATTTACTCCACAAATATTTTCAAATGTCTGCTTCACACCAGACTTTGAGCAAGAATCCATAAATAAAACTGTGAACCAGACAATTCCCCACCCTTGAGGAACTGACATCCTCTGGACACGGTCCCTGAACTTTCCCTGCTGGGCATGGTGGCATCACTGCAAGTTTAAGACCAGCCTGGGTTACAAAGTGAGCTCAAGGTCAGCCTGAGTTGCATAGTGAGACTTTGTCTCAAAAAAGACCAAAAAAAGCGCAAAACTTTACCTCCTATGGTCCAGGAGTATCAGGTCAATTATCACAATAGCTTTATAGACACAAATTGTCATCCCCATTTTACAGATACAGCAACTAAGGCTGAATCACTTATCCAAGGTCACACCTCCCATACTTACTAACCTTTTATAAGACAGACAACAGTGCTTTGTTTTTGTTGTACATTTATTTTTAAGGCAGTGTTTATGGCATAGGATACCTTAGTGACAAAAGTTCCTTTTCAGATGTGGTTATTTACATTTAAGAAAGCAAGGAGTCATACATGGGTTAAGAACAGTCAAGCTAGGGCCAGGGGTACAGCTCAGTGGCATAAGTGCCTGCCTGGCAAGCACAAGGTCCTGAGTTCAATTCCTGGTAAATTAAGAACAGTCAGACTGCATTTATGATGCTAGAATCAGATTACTGGTTAGCTTGAGAGGCTGAGATAGGAAGATCACCACAAGTTCATGGCCATCCTGGGCTACATAGTAAGTTTAAGGCCAGACCGAGCTACCCAGAAAGACCCTGTCTCAATAATGATGATAATAATAATAATAATAATAATAATAATAATAATACATTTAGGAGTACAAGGAAGCCTCTGGGGGCTAGGGTAAATATGCTGTATGTCCTGAGATAGGCAGCAATTACAAGGGTGTAAAAACTCATTGAGCTTAAAGTTATGCCTGTCTCAACCAAGAAAACTCTAGCAGTCAATCTAAAGACAAATATTAAGTGGGTATCAACTTAGGTGAAATAGTAACATGGCAAAATTTATGCAGAAGGACAGGTGCCCAGGTTTGGGCCACCCTGTTCCTTGTGGCTTGTATGTTCTGAGGCCTTGAGGTCTGTGTCCTGAGATTGCCCCACGTGCCACTGGCTGACCCTCCTGGCGCTGGACTCTGGCTGGGCAGTGGGCACTTCCAGTCAGCAGTGGGGGCTGCTGGTCCTGCAAAAGAGCCCCTTCCTCAAACTTCTGCTTCCTGTGGCGCCTGGTCTGGGTGGGGCTCAATTCCAGCTTCCTTTCTCTCTGCACATTGGCCCGAGCCTCAGCTGCATCCATCATCTGCTTCAAGCTCATTAAAATTATTTCTTTTTAGTTGCAAATGGGCTGTTTATGATGATCATTATTTGAATGGTCTGCGCCCGGGCTCCGGGCTGTCTGTCTGCTGCTGATGGCCGGTTAATCAGATGAGTCTCCTCCCTGCTTGGGCCTGGCCCAAAGTCTGGGGCTGTGTTAATCATGGATCCCCTCAGGCTGGAGGTTGGGGGCCAAGTCAGGAGAAACCCTGCATTTGGCCAGATTGTGGTAAGAGAGGCCCTGCTGGCTGGGTGTGTGGTGGTTTGCACACGTGTTTCTTAAACTCCACTCCAGACGAGGGCTGGTTTATGTTCATGACAGAATTTTTTTCTGTTCCTTTGAAATAAATATAGTCCCATGAGCTTTTTATTTTAAGTGTGTTTATTTTAAAGACCATTGTCAATTCTGTATTTGGCCCTGTTGCCTTGTTGATGTTCCAGTATCCATTCTTTTAGGGTGAAAAGGAGTAGTTTTTAATCTCTTCTTTTGCAGTAAAACTTGGCAGTGCTCTGTGAGTCTTGTTTTTACTCAGTTTTGTTTTGTTTCATTTTCTTTTGGTAAGATTTTTACTGACCCATAAAGCTCAGAACTCTTAGCATTGCTGATCTAGTGAGGCATTCTCTGAGCTCTCAGTATATCTGAAATAAGATTAATATCAGCTCACATTTAGCAAACTCTTGGTACTGTGCATGATGCTTACACATTTATATTACATCATTTGAAACAAGCTATGTTTGTTTCAAACGATGTAATATACATCACCCCTCAGCTAATAGGGAAATGGATCAGAAGACTGCTAAAGAGCAAGGCATGAAAAAATTGCCTTTATAATCCACCAAGGGGGTAAGCCAACCTCAATTATTAGAATTGACTATAATTTATTTCCTAGACCCTGTCCGAATCACCTTACAGACACATTAATGCGTTTATTACATGAGATGATGACTGTTGGAAACACAGGATGGTGCCTGATAAACATAAGCACTGAATAAATGCTATTTTTCTGCCATTATTGTTATTACTACTGATGTTTGAAGTTTACTGTAGAAATGTGACAAGAATTCAGGGTTGAAGGATGAACATAGATTTAGGTAAAGTTGAGGAGAATGTGAATATCAGTGACCTCATCTGCCCTTCAAGGTCTATGCAGGAGAGCTGGGCTTATGACAGGGCCAGGACGGTGGAGGGGGAGGGTACACTGATATCCTCTGCCTTGCTGGGCTCTGCTCCCTGCAGTGTGGGTGCAGCAGACAACTTGTCAGGTCTGCATCCATCAGCAGCATTGTAGGAACAGGTGAAAGGAGCCAGGCATGGCAGTCAGACACATCTGGCAGTTGGGTTTACATGCTCTAAGATTTCACTTCAGAACCTGGGTTGGATGTTTTTAATGAGAGTTAAAGTCCAGCTCCCAGCACCTACCCTGGTTGCTGTGATGTGGAGAGGTGCAGTGTCCATGAGATAAGAGCATGGTGTCAAACATGATAGCCCCTAAATCAAGTGATATAAACCTAAGTTCTGTTTGTTCCGCAGCAATATAAAAATCACACATTTTCTTCAGAAGATATATAAGGCCAGGGATATATCTCAGTGGTACAAGCACCTGCCTTGCAAGCACAAGGTCCTGAGTTCAATTCCTGGTACCAAAAAACTAAAAAAAATAAAAGAAGCATCTGAGCATATCAAAAGAAATAAGAAAAACTCTGATGATTGCTTTGCCACAACTCAAACTGACTGTGGCATTCCAGTTCTTTGTCTCCTACCAAATGAGATTCTATCTATCTGACTGTACCCGCTGTGGGCTTTTGTCAGTCTTTATCGCTACAAACTCTCCCTAGTCGCTTGATGTTTTGGTTTTGGTCAGTTGTAGTTTCTTTATTAGAAACTACAATTTGTTTTAAATGATGATAGAAGAGAAGTCTCCTTTCTTTTTTCACACCACTGTGTTCCTCGGCTAGCTCAAAATTACAGGGGAGTCTTGGATTGGGAGTAGATTTACCCCGTGCTTCTCTAAGAATTGGTTTCAGCACCTTGGAGAGCACCAGCCTCCCTCCCTCGGCTTTCAGTTGCTTTTGTACCCCTGCCTTCTCCAGCCTCATCTTATGATTATCCTAAAAGGTTAGACATTTCTCCAGAAACAGAAATTATTTCCTGGATTACTCCAGAAGTCTCCCGAGGCCAGAGGCAGCAGTCCCAGGCTTGGGGTACCAGGTTTATGGTGGTAAGGTGAATTGCTATTGAGCAGACTTAGCGACTCTCAGACATGATATAAGACAATTACCATGCATTTCGTCTCTTCGAGGGAAAAGGATTTGCAGTGGGTTAATAGTACTTTTATTTCATTATCTAATGGTAAAAGTGTTTCATTGTGTGTGCAAGATGAATGTGTATTAGCGATGACAAATGGGGTCTTTCAACACGATGCCGGGCCTCATCATACATATGTTAGATTAAAGAGTTCACCCTGGAAATACACTCCGCTTCTGCGTGTGTGTTTTTAATAAATCTGATTGAAGAAATTTATTGCACCACCGGATTTAGGAAATTATGGGGCTTGATTGCTGCAAATATAATCGGGTGATATATACAGAAATGCTCCTCGAGTTATGGTCCAGAAAAAAAGCCCATTTCGAGATAGTGCCAGAAAGCAGCAGACCACATAAACAGAGCATTTCTTGAATTATGCAAATGAAATCCATGACAATTCATGGTGAATTGTACTCCCCCTGTGAAACTGCCACCATTAAAGTGAAGAAAGCTCCAAGAAGGGCAACCAAATACACATGTACGCCCAGCAGACATTGTCTATGGTGAGAGTGAACTGCAGCGTCTCCTTCCTTCTCACTGCTTTTCCCCTTGCTGGTACACGGAGAAAAGCCCTGGTCTGACGCCTTCATTGCACACACACAGGCAAGGCGCCTTCCAATCCATTTCCTCCCTATCCAGGAGCCTTCAATGAAATATTTCTTATACTCGAAGTGAACCTTAAATGATTTACCGTAGGGTACACAAAAGGTCAGCGTGCTTCTTATTGGCACCTTCATTTTTCCAAAATCTACTGAAATTAAAAAGCCATCTATATCTTAAGAGGCGTATTTATGAACCTTTAAGTGTAAGTAAGTCATAGTTGGAACAGTTCCCACCTCTGATATATGAAAGCTGTCGACAGCACTTTCTTACACTATAATATGCCCATACAATATGCCGCACTTTACTATTTTGACACGGTTTGGAGATGTTTTCTACAGTTACTGACAAGCTTATGCCATCACTCCTTTGGAAATTTAAGAGGTGGGGAGTGGGTGGGGAAGAGATGGGGGAAAAACCAACAACTCCTCCCAACTTTATGGGAGATTATTGATCTGGCCCGACTTCTACTGAGCAAAAAAGCTGTCCTGGATTTTTTTTTTCCTGGTTGCATCCCCAGTTTTGTAAATTATTCCTTTGTGCCAGGAGTCAATATCTTTTCTAAGCTTTGTAAGTTGCAAAAACTTGTTCACTATGCTATTTTGTGCAATGATTAAAAAGGAAAAAGAGGGAAAAATCTTTTTCTTCTTCTCTCTCTCTCTCTCTCTCTTTCTCTCTCTCTCTCTCTCTTTTATTGTTCCAGAAGGAGCTTAATTCCGTCGCTTCCGAGCTGTCTGCACGGCAGGAGGAGAGTGAACATTCTCATAAACATTTAATTGAACTCCGCCGGGAATTTAAGAAAAATGTACCTGAGGTACAGTATATTTGCTGTTATAGAATTAACTCAGTAGGAATGCAGATTTCTCTCTGTTCAAACTATATTTTGAAAACTGTAGACATAAGTGACTAACAAGAAAAGAAGCTAATTAGCCACAAAGAAAAATTACAGTCCCCCGCCTTTCGGGGTTTCTTGGCATAGCAGTGCTCAGCAGTGCCGTCTGAAGTTAGGGCGAACCACTTCTCCATTAAAGTCATTGTTTCTGAGGACTGTAGGAGACATCCCTTTTCTCCCCACGTCTGTATCCAAGTGGAATGCTTAGCCTTGACTGCAAAACACTTCGGCCCTAGCTCTTGATTTTATTTTGCTTTTCCATTGGCATCTGTGTGATGGCAGAGATGGATTCCGCTGCCATCCCCAAAACTCTGTCCCCACCACCTGTAAATGTAGCTGTCCTTACACACACATCACCTTCCTCCTCATTCCAGCTTCCAGTTTAGGCTCTCTGCTGCCACGGGGTGGCCCTGAGAATGACCAGCCCCCAGCAGTGGAAGGACCCCCAAGAGGAACAGGCTGGCACAGACATGTTTCTGTTCTTGCCAGGATGAATGTACAAAGTCTTTTCTGTATTCTATCAGGCCTCCTGTTGCTTCTTAAATTAAAAAAAAAAAAAAGATGAACATAAACACAAATAGAAAAACTAAGGCCCCTGACTCTTACATAGGACAGGCAGGGATGTGACATATCAGCGCTATCACAGGAAACAGACATGAGGCCAGGCCTAACCCACAGCCACCTGTGCCTACCTGTAGGCAGCAGGTTAATGCTCCAGTGTCCCATCCTTACCTACTCAGGCTACTCAGGTGTGCTGGACCCTGGAGAAGGGTGGGCAGGGGCTGCCCTCAGGGAGACCTTGAGTTCACCAGTTCCATCCCGCCTGCCTGCATCCTCCAGGCTCCTGTTGCTGTCTTGCTGATGGAAGAAGGCCTAGCCAGGAATCAGGCCTTCCGCAAGTCAGCCGCAGTCCCTTTGCTATCAAATGCTTCTCACACCCGTCATAGATTGCTCTGGTTAAGGCAAGGTCAGAGTCTGGGATTTCATTAAAAATCATCTGTGGACCAGCTGTAGCAGGAAGCTTAGGTTTGAGGGCTGAGAGGCTGCGCACAGAAGAGGCACAAGTCTCAGATCCGAGGGCGTCTCCCGTCACAGCCTCAGAAAAGCCAAGTCAGATCATTGCTTTACTTTGGAGCACTGTAAAGCCCTGGTGATGCTGATGGACCCCTCCCCCACCCCCCACCTGCCCTTCCACCGTCTAAACAGAATACAGCTTGGCCTTTAAGCTGTTTTCTCCCCAGAATGAGACTGTCTGACCTGCCCATCTCTGGCGAGCACAGAGCTGAGTCGGCTGCACATCTTCACAGCCCTGCACACCTTCTCCCTCTCAGTCTCTCTCTGTCTCTCTCTCTCCATCTCTCACCCTCCTTCCCCCCACCCTCCCCACCTCTCTGGTCCAGTTAAACCCTCTGTCTTGCCCTCTTTCCCCCACAGTGAATGCCCCTCCTCACCCCTGCCTCTGTCCATGTAGAACCCCCCAGGTGATGAGGGAAATCCAGGCCAGGTTTTAAGCCTCCAAGTTTGACTTACATAATTCTAATACTGCATAATTATGCAATTATGTAATTAGGAGGAATAAGTTTCCATTCCTATTATAGTCACAGCTCTAAAAATTCTCAGTTTTGGAATTTGTCTCGCCCGATGGGAGAGCTGTGCCAAGGATTTATTTAAGAGCATCGTCTGACTGGTGCCAGCTCACCTGCTGCTCGTGCCTCTGCCCGGCCTCCCCTGTAGTTCAGCTAAGGGGACAGAGAACCCCCAGAAATGGCCACAGCCCTTGTCAGTGTCCCCCTGTAGTGGCTCCCAAGTTCCAGCCCTTTGAACTTACTTGAGTGTAGGGTTATGAAAAGAGCCTGTGTGGGCAGTCTGATAGCCCACAACTGTCCAACTGTGCAGCCTGCTTGCTGTGTGACCTGAAGAGGCTCTTTCTGTCACTAACATTTCCTGAACCTGGACCAGGAGTCGCCTGCTGTGTGTTTTATTTAGTCTGTAAAGTTTCCAACATTTAGTGTCTCAGATTTTACCTGCAAATTGGCTTTCTGGTGTCTTCTGAGGCTGTCCAGCAGATTTTGCAGTCTGCAGCCTCCATGCCCATGCTGGGGTTGGCAGCTAGACCCAAGGTGTTACATCCCCCTTAGCCCAGCTCCCTTCTGTCTGCTTCTTGCCTGGCCTTGATGGACACTTGGGTTCACCACTGTGACCTGGTGTCTCATACATCGTCTCTCGCATCACCCAGCCTTTGTACTGAAGCCACTTGGGACCAGATCTGTGGAGTTCATGGCCACTGTCTGCATGCCACTGTAGGTTCCATTATGTCAGTGTAGTGTATCAGCATTTCAGAGGTCCTGGAAGGACCTCTGAAATGAGAGGACCCAGGATTGAGAGAGCTTTCTAAGGGCAAAGGCAGCACAACTTGATTTTCAGGATTAATGGGTTTCTTTCTCTGACCACCTGTATACGTCTGCCCATTTCTTCTGTTTCTCTTTGTCATCCCCTCCAGCCCCTTCACCTCCCCCTCCCACCAATTTTCTTGTGACTCTGGCTGATTGTGGATTCTAAAGGAGACCAGGGTTTTCAGGGTTGATGTTTTGGGACTTGTAGTTCTAAGGCTTCCCTCTTGTGCTGCATCAAAGAAATGATAGGAATGTGCCAGCAGAGCTCTTGGGTCTGAGATGCATGAGGTCAATAAGAAAGGAAATTCAAGTCTGGAAATTAGAGGCCCCGGTGGCCAGAGCAGATGTCCCTTGAAGACAGCTCCTATTCACAGTGTCCCTGCAGGAGCAGGGGAACCCAGCTAGTCCTGAGAAATTAGCTGTGCATTGTGGTGAGGAAGGAGACACAGGTATAGATGTAGGCATAAGATACAGCCATTGTAGGACGGTAGCAACTGGGAGACAGCAACCTCCAGAAGAAGACAGCCCCTGAATGGCACCTTGCAGGACAGAGGGATTTGCTGAGGGGCTTTGATGATAGCACAGAGAAGAAGAATTGGGCCACTTCTCTTGCCCCTACTCAGAGTGTCTGATGATCTTCGCATTCCACAAGGTGCTTTGCATAAAGACCAAACCATGATAAATCCATGTGGAAAATGCCACTTCCTCTGTCCTTTCTCACAGAGTTCCAGTATGTATCATGTTAAAGGCTCTGAAAAGTGCTGCAGGAGAGGGACCTCTTGGAGTTGCTGTTTCTCAATCTGATTTGGTTCAGAGTCCTGAGTGTGTGTGTGTGTGTGTCCCTTATGAGACCCCATAGAATGCAGGTCCTACAGGGCATACTTGGGACAGACTGACCCCAGGGAACAACACTCAGGGGCTGTGGGGATGCCCACCTGGCACTGTGATGAACCCTTCACTGATCTCTTTTTCAGGAAATCAGAGAGATGGTGGCACCCGTATTAAAAAGCTTCCAAGCTGAGGTAAGACCCAAGGCCCAAGACATGTTAGAAAAGCACACCCTGCTCCTCGTCCCATCCCACCTGGAGTTGGCAGAGGCAGCCTCAGCCTCGGAGAGCTCTGGAGAAAGCTGCCCTGCTCTGTTGCAAACCCTTCCCAGCCCCAAGTGTCCTGGTTGATGAAACTGCGGTCTAATCGCCAGAAGCCTCCTTCTCCCTGGCCTGTGCCCAGCTCCCCACTGGTTTGGCTGTGTGTAAGATTGGGTGACCATGAGTGAGCTTCCTCACCTTCCCACCTGGGTTCTGGGTTTTGAAGTTGGTGCTATATTTGAGGGAACCTGTGCCCCACCTGGGCGTTCTGTGCAACTCTGTTCTTCAAGCCTTGAAGATAAGTGAAAACAGCTACCAGCCCCTCAGCAGGCCTTTCCACTAGCCCACTCTGTGGATCAAGTCAGCACTGTCCGCACTTTCCTGCCAACCCACGAGCCCTGGTTCTCTGAGGCAGCCAAGTCATCCTGGGCACACCCTTCTTCATGCCTTTCCAGAGCACTGTGATAGGGCAGAACCTCATTTCTCCTATTGCTTGACTTTGAGGCCAGGATTCTAAGAATGTCCACTCACACGGCTGACACAGTCTAGGAAAAGACTAGAATCACCCCGGGTCAGCAAGTGAGGGGGAGGTCAGGGAAAGGGGGCTGCTTCTCCGTACTGGCACTGTTCAGAGCTCAGGGATGCATTTCAATTCTGTTGTCCACCAAGTGCCACAGAGCAGTTGTAAGCACATAAGGCAATATTGAAAGTAAACAAAATGTAACGCTCTGGAAGGCTGAGGCAGAAACATGGCAAGTTCCGGCCCAGTCTGGGCAACTTAGAGACTTAGTGAGACCCTGTCACAAAGAACTGTTAAAGGGCTCAGGATGCAGCTTAGTGTGAAGACCCTGGATTCAATCCGCAGCACCATGAAGAAGGAAGGAAAGAAGAGAGGGAGAGAACTGGATTTACACCAGTGCTGCTGGTCTGCATAGTTTTTAGCCCTTCATTTTATTACCAAGTGGGTTGGTAATAACCAAGTGCTTATTTATAGTTATTTATAAGGCCATTCAGTACTAGTTCATTTGGTTGTGAGGTACCTGGATCAGGAGGTGGGTGGAGCCAAAAATCCAAAAGAAGAAATAATATTAGGAATGTGTTTTTCTGGCTTTGTGGTTTTTAAAAAACAGAACTTCCCATCTGCCAACCCCTGGTCCCAGGAGGGCTGCTCAGCGTCCAGGCTTCCTCAGCAGCTGGTCCCTCTTGCAGCCCAGGGACAGACACAGAGCTATTTTGGAAACAGTGTCATCTTTTCAGCTCTTCCTTTGCCAAGATTGGCTGGAGCAGAGCTTCTCTTAGCCCCCTACAGCCTCAGCTTCCCGATCTGTGAGGTGGAGGTAGATCCTAGAGGTCTTTTTGTGTTCTTTGGGGGAATTAACTGAGGTTTGATGCAGAGAAAGGTGTTAACGTTATTATCTCGCACTTGGAGAGTTTCAAGGGAGATTTGAATTTTGTTCTGCTGCTTATTAACTGTGACCTTAGGTGAATTACTTGACCTCTCTGTGCCTCTATTTCCTCATCTGTAAAATGGATGATAATTTTACCTACATCGTAGGGTTGTGATTGAAGAAGAACAAATGAGTGACCTCCAATACAGGAAGTTTGGTACATTAAACTATGTACCAGGCTGCCACTACTATGGCTGGACTGGCAACTGCCTTTCCCTATCCTGCTGCCCTGGCTTTCTACCCAGAAGAAGGAGCTTCCTGTCCCTGTAGGAAGTAGATTACCTTTACGGTAGGAGACAGGTTTGAACTCTGGGTGTAGGCAGTGATCCCCGCAAAGCACAGGTCCATGGGGAACTCGGGCAGCCTGCTTTGACTCTCAGCCTTGCTGCCTTAACCAGCTCTGTGGCCTGGGGAGGTTCCCTGACCTCTCTGCCCTTCAGCTTCCCTCCTGTGCCAGGTGAGGGTTCAAAGAACCAGGCAGCTGTGACGCATGAGCGCAGCACCGTGGCATGCCATTGGTGCTCAGTTAAGTACTGGGGCAGAGAAAGTCTTAATGGAGCTGAAGTGGAAGACAGGGCTGAGTGCTTGTTTCTGAAACCCATGTGGTGCGTTGCATAGATGTGGCTTTAGTAGCTGGAGATCTTCAAAGAACTTCGTTAATTTTCTTAAGAGGGCTTTCCATCATGCCTTTAATGTACCAAGGACTACATTCCTCTGGAATCGTGTTCCTGAACCCCTGCTTTCCTCATGATCTATTGACGAAGCCCGAAGCCCTTGCACTCTCAGGTCCCTCCCCACTCCCGGGGGTGGGGGAAACACAGCTGTCAAAGAAAGGTGTTAATAACAAGCCTCCTCTTGGTCCTGAGCAAGTTGCTCACGCACCAGGCTGTTTATAATCCAAATACGATTTTCGTTTTAATTTTCCTAATGAGGGCTCATCCTTTATCCCACTTCCCTCCTGCAATCCACTGGGCCCTGGGCTGAAGCTGCAGGTTCCCAAGTGGGCATTAATCACCTTCTGGAAATATTCCCTGGGGCAAGTACTGTCCCAGGTCACATGAAGCAGGCCATAAAATGCGCTGCCGCTGAATAGCCCGCCCAGCCTTCCTGCCTCCCCACTGCACTCAGCCTCTGCTTAAAATACGCGGTGTTCAAGTTCCTTCCTGAAATTCACTCCGCCAGCCCTGGCGTGTTCAGGCGCTGGGTGTCTTCATCTTCATACACTGTATGTGAGTGGGTATTTTCTTTTTTTCTTTTGTTTTCTTTTTCCTTTTCTTTTTTTCCTCCTGCTGGTGGGAGGGAGTGGGGAGGAAGTGACTGTGCCCTGCTGTGAATGAAGGAAGATTCTTTTCTGCCTTGATTGCTTAAAGGACAGTTATGATTTCCCCTGCTCAGGAAACAAAGACAGCCAGAGAAGGTGGCTTAATGGAGACAGCTTGAAATGGCCAAAGTTTGAATATCCTTGTGCACAGAGAAAAGAGCAAGACGAAAGCCCTGCTAATTACAAAAGTTGCTTTATGAAAGATAATTCAAAGCAATAATTTAGCAAACATAATCAAGTCGCACAGATGGGGTTGTTGATGGATGGATTGCAACATGCAATTAGCAGTTCTCACAGTTACATATCATTAACCCTCCGAGCACAAAAATTATTTTCTCATTATTAGTTGAAAAGGTAAAATTAAGCTGACTAGACAGTAAAGGAACAAACTACAATTAATTACCTTCATTTATTACAGTCATTATTTTAAACTTATTTTTACTTGGAGAGAGAGATGAAAACATCTAAATTAAAAGTTTTGTTGTGCTAACTCCGAGGTGAGACTTCTAAGAATGAGAGCACGGCCTGTCTGCGAGGGGGGACTGGGATTGGCCTTTTCTCTGGCTCCTTCATCCACCGTGAAGGGGTATGGACTGATGCCTGGACAGGGTCAGGAGAGTGTGGGGGTCAAGATGCGTGGTCCCAGTCCCATCCTGAAGTTGACAAGATTGTATGATCTTAGCAAGGGACTTAGAGTCTCTGAGCCACTGTTTCCTCGTGTGAATATTGGCACAGCTCATAGAATTGTGTGAGCGTTTCTGAGATGCCCAGTGTTGAGTGGCTGGTGAGTCTCATGCTCTCACTGCTCGGCTCTGTAAACATTTTCCCTTCAACCACCATGGTCTCAGGGAGCTTATGTGGCATGATCACCTTCCTGAAGTATAGGAAGATAACCAAGATCCTGCTTACTAAATGATGTTGAGATCATCATTTGAGCCCATGCCGTTATTCATTCATTCAACAAACATTTATTGAGGAACTGCAATATATTAGGCAGCGCAGTACATGCTTATGTGCTAGCCTACCCTAACTCTCTGTCACAAAGAGGAGCAGTTGCTCGTGCTGCACCCAGAAGAACCTCCTAGAGAAGCTTCTCATGTTGGCTGAACTTGCTGTTTATGCCCATCCCCCTGCAAGGCACATCTGCCTGTGCCCTTAGCCTCCTGGATCCAGACCCAGAGTCCTGGTCTATGTCCTTGCTTCTGGGCCTGGGCCTACCTTGACCCTCTGGAGGTGGGGAGCTACTCAGCTACACACTGCATGTCAACCCAGTGGTGCTGTCAGCCGTCAGATAACCACAGCCCCAAGTGCTGTCTGCCTGTGACCACCCTAGAAAGCATAAGAAGACCCCCCCAATAGAGCCCTGCAGAAGTGGAAGAAGCCATCATGAGTGGGGTATAGGGCTCCTCCTTTTGGGCACCTGGTTCTCAGCAGTAGAGAAGCAGAGCACCCACATCTATTGAAGGCCACCTCTCCCCTCTCTTCTCCTCCCCTCCCCGTCCCCCTCCTCAACTCACCTAGCCTCCCCCTTGCCTCTTCCCTCCCTCCTTGTCTCCATCCCCAGCCTCTCTGAAAAGTAAATCTTTGGGCAGATTTTAGCCTTGGAGCAGAGTTCTCGCAGTGCCAAGTTCTTGGGCCTGATCTCACAGCAGAGTGCGGTGGCACTCTGCCTCCTGACCCAGAACACAGCAGGGCTGTTGGGCAGGGGCTGGGCACAGGGACACACACAGGCTCCTCACCCAGGCCTGGCTTTGCACGTCAGGGACCCAGGTGAGGGGCACCAGCAGTGCCTCGGCTCTCAGGTCCTTTCCTTTGAGTGTCTTTGCAGGGAATCAGAGGTTTCCAAGACCCATGTTGGCTGAGGAAGTTGAGAGCAGACACACAGGAGTCCTGTTTCTAGAGGACAGAGGTGACATTGGAATAGGGATGGCAGGAGAGCCTGAGATAGGGTTCTGCTGTCTCCTATGGGCAGGTCGAATGGAGAGCGAGGTGTGGTGGCCAGCATGACAACTCCTAGCCACACATCATGTTCATCAGTCACCAGCAGAAAGTCGCATCCTGGCAGAGTCAGCCCACCTGTACTATGGTGTCTGAAATGTGGGTGGTGACGGTTTGCTGAGTTGTCTGGGTCTTAGGGCTGGCCCCCAGGTCAGAGATGTAAGCAC